CACTTAAATCCAGTTCAAGTCGAGACATCACTTGTCATCCCTTATCTTACATTGTACTGTCATTGGTTCTCTTTGAAAGGATGAATAACAATAAACCTAGACACAGAGATAGAACCATGAACAATGGTGGAATTGCAGAGTAAAGTTTAGACCTAATATAAGGCAAAAACTCCTAGTTATTAGTTATTAAACAGCTATTTAAAAGACAAATGAAGTTTTTTTTGGGAGTTCTTCAAGTGAAAGCAGGCTATTTGTTAGCTATGATGTAGAATGGTTTCTTATTCAACTATAGGTTGGATCTGACGACCTCTGAGGTCCCTTACAACTTTGACAGTTTGCAATTCTATGAATATTGTAATAACTTCTTAGCTGTTCTTTCTCCTTCCAGTATCTTGCCATCCCAATCTATCTTTGACATAACTGCCAGTGTAATCTTTCTGAGGTGCTACTCTGATCACATCACTCATTTACTCAGAAACCTTTAGGGTCCCTCTATTACCTACAGAATAAAGAACAAATTCCTTATCCTTGCATTCAAAGACCTCCATAAAATGTGATCTCTCCTCCGTAATATGACTCCAACTTACCTTGACAGTTTTATCTAATATCATTTCCCTTCATGCACTCTATTTCAGCTTGCTGGTGTATTCTCCATTTTCTTTCCTCATGATGTCTTCTATGCCTGCAACTGACTTTTCACCCTCATCTCTTCTTTTTGAAATCCTTCGCCTGCAAGGACCAATTCAGGTGTTTCTTATTCCATAAAATCTTTCATGTCTCTCCCTTCCTCTAATGAGAGCGATCTCTTCTCAATTTCCTCATAGTCCTTTGCCTTTCCTTTGTACTTGATACATTCTTTTTTTTTTCTATAATAGGCTGTCTGTGTATTTCCCTTTATTATTAGATTGTAAGTTTCCTGAGAGAATAAGGTTTGTTTAACAACTAGATCTCCAGAAAAAAATAAAAGTTTGTATTACACACTTAAATTTAATCTTCATAATTAACGTTTCCCATCACTTTATTAAGTCTAGCCAATCAACAAAATAATAAATCAAGCACTGATCTGTCATATTTGTTGATTCCTAAACACTATAAATTTAACAATTGGCTGTCCTGAGCTGGTTTGAACCGGCTCCAGCACACCCCTGGATATGTCCAGGGGCACTTAGCACAGTGTCTTACAACCTAGTAGAAACTTAATAAAATTTTAAAAATTTGAATATAATAGGAAGTCATTGAAAATGAGAGTATGACCAGATGAAGACAAGTAGGACAGTAAGGGGTCTGTAAGCTATGGCATAAAGGAAATGGTTGAACAAGCTAGAGAAGTTGAATTTGGAGAAGATTAGATGATGGAGGAAAGTGAAATTTCATGAAAGCAATCATCTGCTCCAGAAGGCAGAACAAAGATAGATGGGTAGAAGATATAGGTTGTAATGTCTTCCTGTCTTCGTACACTCCAAACACCACAATTATGTCTATTTGACCCTTAATCTGCAGCCTTATCCAAAGGCTGGGGCCATTTTGGCCTTTAGGCAAGTCAGCCTTAGCACTGGTCATGTTCTGACCTTGTACGCTGATTTTAGTAATAAAATTCTCACAGTGTTCCTTTTGACGAAGCTCCTGCCTTTGTCTTCCTATTTCTAGTAATTGGATCCCTTTTAATTTCCTTAAGTTGTGTCCTTGCCCAATGCTCAATTTTCAAGTGGGACTGGGATCCTCTCCTGGAACCCCAGTTCCTTTGTTTAGCTTCCTGATACTTGCTGCCAGACCTCCCTGATATTAACCATTTGCTTGCTTGGTTCACTGACTATTATCTATTGTCAGTATTTCCTGATGCTGACCTTCTGAACTTCCCATTGCCTGCTGTTGTGACTGCTACCCTTGCCCACCTGCACCTCATTGGATCGATCTAGTCTTAAGATTCTGATCATCCTTTATCCATCCTTTGTTCCGCCTCCTATGAGATTCCCGTTAGGACACTCAATTATCTAAAGACTTCAGACTCATGGATACTTCAGTAGTGGAAGATAGAGAGCTTATTTGTAGTAAAGTAGAAATGAATTCATTTTGAAGTGATCAGTCGTATGATACGGAGGAGCAAAAAGGATGAAAAGAGACATAATATGTTGAAAAAGTATGTCATATCATTACTTCCCTTAACTGCAATAACTGTTTTGACCTTCTCTTTTTTCATCCCATAAATTAAATCTCTTACTAAAGAGTGTTACTGTCTCAACTAGTTTTTTTAACTGCCTCTGTCTGATTCTTTCTTCCCTCTCAGGAAAGATAGCCAGCTTCTTAGGAAATCCATGAATTTTTTTTTTGATGTTAAAAAGGGAGCCCCCATAGTCCTGAAAAGACTGGGAACCACTGCTCTTGAACATTTCTTCAAGAACAGCCATCCTTGGGGCAGCTAGGTGGCACAATGGATAAAGCACTGGCCCTGGAGTTGAGGGTCTGAGTTCAAATCCAGCCTCAGACACTTAACAGCTTTGTGACCCTGGCCAAATTACTTAACTCTGATTGCCTCAAAAAGATATAATGGATATAGTGATGATATAATGGATAAAGTGATGAACTTGCATTTAGGAAGACCTGGATTCGACACTTGACTTCTGATGCTTATTTTCTATACGAGTGTAGGCAGTCCACTTAGCTTTTTTTCCTTAGCTTTCTCATCTTTCATATAGGTTTGTACCTCAAAGGATTGTTTAGAGTCCTAAATGAAATAATGATCAAAATACTATAATAATAACAAATAATAAAATATTATAAAATATAATATATAATATATAAAATGTAATACAAATAATAAAAATAAAGACTATTTTATGGAGAACTCACACAAGACAAGTTTACATGGAGGTCAGAAGAAGTGGTATGACGATACTCTCAAGGTCTCTCTGAAGAACTTTCCAATCAATTGTGAGACATAGGAGACATTGACATAAGACTGTCCAATATTGCAGGCCAACATCAAAGAAGGCACTGTGCTCTATGAGCAAAGCAGAATTGCAGTAGCTCAATGGAAACTTGAGCTGTACGAATTTCCAGCCATCTCCATTCCAAATGCTCATGTGTTCTATTTGTTCCCCACCTGTGATAGAGCCTTCCAAGGTCATCTTGGTCTGATTAGCCACAGACACACTGTGCCTTGACATCAACACAGTGATGTCATTTTGGTCCTCTTTGAGAATAAAGGAGAACACCCAACCAAATGAAATAATCTATGTAAGGTGCTTTATAACCTTACGACGATGTACAAATGCCAGTTGTTATTTTGTTCTTCGTGTCTTCTCTAGAGGAAATGTGATGTTATTGTCTGCCCAGAAGTTTTCAATGAACAACTCCCCCATTCTGTCTCTGAGTGAATGAATCACCAACCTGACCTTTTTCAAGGAAGCCTTACTATTTTACAACATGACTTTGTTTTACATATATAAACACATGTAAGACAAACAGATTTGTCTTTCTAAGTAAGATTCATTCATTCAGTGTTTCTGAGGAGGCATAAATCAGTGTGGGCTGAAGTGATCACGAATGGTTTCATGGAGAAGGGAATCCAGAAGGATAGTAGAATTTAGAAAGATGAAGAGAGCTTTAGGGCATTTGAGGAAGGGGGAATGGTTTGAGCAAAGGTGTCTATGTGTTCCTGGAGTATTCAGCATGCAGTGAATGGGATAATCTATCTGGAGTAGAGGGTCTTAATGAATATAAGATGGTTAAGACTGGGGTGATGTTGTGTGTTTGTTTTTTATTCTAATCATAAGAATAGTGAAACTAGACTGGATAAAGAAGAAAAATAGGAAATAACTAAAGACTAGAAATTGAAGTAAGTAGGATTTTGGACTTGTTTCTACATATTTCAAATAAAATGCTTATAAATAAAATTTTATTTTTTTTATAAATAAGATTTTAAAAAGTGAATCTGAATCTGATAAATATGCTAGAAGAATATAACATGAAACTAATTCTAGAAACAATGTCCTCTTGGAATTAAGAAAAACATCACAATTTTAGTCTTTTCTTGTGTTTAGATAATTCTTGAGATAATTTCTTCATGATGTCAAAATTATCATTTTATATCATATTATTCATAGAAGAACTGTAAGATAAATCTTTTACAAGGTGCTTGTATTTTTTAATACTAAGTCCCAAAACCACTATTTCAGTACCTACTTTTTGTTCTTCTTTTGCTTCAATCGTCTTGTCCTATCATTCTAAATAACTGTTAGCTTCCTTACATACAGTGATAAATAAACAAGACTTTGTTGTACAAGACAATGACTTTGACTTTTAAAAAATTCTGTAATCCAAAATGACTACTAGTATGGAAATGTGTTACATCATTGTACATGTAAAACCTATATCTGATTGCTTACCGTCACAAGGAGGAGGGAGAAAAAGAAGGGGGGGCATAGAATTTGGAGCTCAAAACTTTTAAAAAATGTTATATAGTTTTAACATTTAATTGAAGGAAAATAAAATATATTTTAAAATTCAGTAATCTAGCTCCTACATTGCTAAATCTGAAATCCACAGAAAAATTATTGTGGAAAACATACATGATTCCTGTTATCACTATTACACTAACAACATCTTATGTCCTTAATTTTATTTAAAAACCAAATGCTAGGGGGAAGCTAGATGGTGCAGTGGACAGAGCTCCAACCTTGGAGTCAGGAGTACCTGAATTCAAATCTGGCCTAGCTATGTGACCCTGGGCAAGTCACTTAACCCCGATTGCCTCACCAAAAAAGCAAAAACAAAACAAAACAAAAAAACCAAATGCTATCCTTTCTGTATTCATAATCTAGTCTTTTTCATACCCATCTTATATCTTGTAGAAATAATGATGTTTTTATTAGGCCTTCCCTAGATCAGTGGTACTGTCCCTATAGCCATGTTCAATAAAAATTTTAAAAAACCTTAAAAAGATAAAAGTAATCACTTCTTTCTTCCATCCTGCTGTTTTTTTTTCCTTTCTGTTGAATCAGCTGTCAGCTCCAGCACTAAGCAGCTCAGAACACATGGGACATATAACTCATTATCAAGTAGAAAAGTCTGCACATCTCAGTGATTCACATGCTCTGCCCTGGTAGAGGAAGTACCTCCTCAGAATCACCACACACTGATGAAATTGAAGGTCTGGTAAAAGAATCGAATTAAAATAATAAAATGGAATCTTCTAATATTGATCTCTATGACCAGTAAGGGCAAGTCCTATAAGGTACAGTTGAACATCTTTTTGGTAAATGTGCTTACTGTATATATTAAGTTACCTGTTTAGCATAACACACAATTAATCTTTGAGATGGTGAAAAGTCAGTTGAACCAAAAGCAGGAAGGGAATGAAAGCCATTTGGTTTCATGATGAAATGAGATGAAGTGAAAACCATCAGTTTTCATTGTATGTGGGATGCATAAGATGTTATATTGTTAGTGGAGGATGAGTAATGGAAGCCACCAGTTCTCCCCAGGGCCCTCTGGGGTGGCAGTGGAGGTGGGTATGAAAGTTACCTAGGTATGCCCATCAGAGTTATATATCAAATGGCACTGGGCACTGGCGCGTACTGCACGTTAGGATAGTTTAGTCATAACTAGAGTGAATTTTGAACTTGCATTTAGAGGGTGAGAAACAGCGTGGCAAAGTAGGTAGAGGGACAGCCTTTGAGTGGGAAAGACCTGAGTTAATGTTTTGCCCTGATGTGTGTTTTCTGTACAAACCCAGGCAAGTCACTGAGCTTCTCAATAACCCAGGCAGTTCTCCTGATTTCATCAGTTAGGGGTGGGGCATCATTATGTATTTAAATGTATGTGTGTATGTATATCATATTACACACATAGGTTATCATATATGTATATATGATATACATTCACAGATAGAGATGTGAATGTATATCTAGCATTTTAAATAGTACCTACTACGTGCTAAGTACCGTGGTAAGATCTTTATAAATATCTCACTTGATCCTTGTAACAACTTTGAGGAGTAGGAACTGCTGTTATCTCCATTTTATAGCTGAGGAAACTGAGACAAACAAAACTTAAGTGATGTGCCAAAGATCACAACTCGTAAGTGTCTGAGGCTGGATTTAAACTCAGATCTCCCTGACTATAAGTCCAGAGTTCTCACCATCTCCTGTAAAACCTAGCTGCACCCCGCCCCATACACACATGTGTGTGTATGTATATATGTATCTATCTATCTATTCAATTTTCTACATATCTGTGAACATCCTAAGTAAAATGTAAGCACCTTAAGGGCAGAGACTCTTACTTTTGTGTTTGTATTCTCAGATACTTGATGAATATCTGTTCAATAACTGATGATTGATTTTAAGTTACATACCAGTCTGCATCCACAGTGTTGAGATGACAGGTGAGGATATCCTCTCTGCCCTTCTCCTTCTGGAAGACAGCTACAGAGAATGCACATTTTAAAGATGACATTTCCTAATTTTTTTCAATTAGTTCTCTCATTTTTCTTATTCTGAATCTTTTCTATTTTACTATTCTTTTTTTTTTTTGGTGGGGGGACAGGGAGTGAGGTGGGGACCAGACCTGTGATATCATTGTTGTAGGGAACTCCCAGTGAGCAAATTCCCTTTATCCACACAGATCTGGAACTGTTGTACAACTTTATTGTTTTGAAGACTTGTTGGGAGAAGAAGAGGTTAAATGTTTCATCCAAGGTCACACATCCGGATATGTCAGAGGTGGCATTTGAACCTGGATCTTCAAGATTCCAAGGCTCACCCTCTATCCATTCCCACCGCTGTTCTTTTATTTCCTTTTTACCTCTGAAACTAAGTTTTCCCACTCAAATTTGCCTTTGGATTTCTTATTAACTTTTCTTTGTTATTTAGATCTATGGCTTTCCCATGAAATGTTAGATTTTTCCCAGGCTGCTGCCTTCTTGGATAGATCACATGCAGTGTGCTCTCTTCGTATGGAAAGGGTGGAGGAGAATTTATTTGAATTTCGACTGAGAGATTTATTTAGAAGTTATTTCATGTAAATGGGGTTTTTCTCTCAATTTGATTGTTTTCCACAATATCTCAAAATAATAACCACCACCAATTGCAAGCAAACAATAGCAATGAATATGATTTTTTCCTAAGACACTGACTTCTCTTTTACTCTTACAAGCTGGAAATAAACTCATCTCCCAAGCCTAAAGTTACCTGTCTCCTTTTTCTCAAATGATCTCTATTTTGACCACTTCAACCTTATGACCAGAAAGGATAACAATATGGCTGTATTCCTTGAATGAGTAATTCTGTCATCCTGGAAGATCACTGTGCCCCTTAGGTCCCCTCTTCTGATTGATCAGTTCCTTCATGAAACTTCATTTTAAGGAAAAGTGGCAAGGCTTGCCACGTTCACTCTTCCACTCCTCTCCAGGTTGGGCTCCTGACTTTCTAGACTTCTCTCTCCTCCTTCCTCCCTCTACCACATCGCCAACTCTTCAGGTTCCTTTAAGTATTGTTTTCTCCCATTAGAATAGGCTCCTTTTTCTTTGAATTGTATTGGAATTCCCAGCACTTGGGCACAGTGCTGGGCACATGGTAAGCACTTAATAAATGCTTTTTGACTTGACAATATCTTGTAGCTTATCTTTCCAACTTGGGAAGCTGGTAAGGTCTTTCTCATTAATGACTTCCCTGATCCAGCACTATCACCCTGATGCTTCCTAGGTGCACACTTATTTTCATGAATCTTATTGCAAGGCTGAAATACCTCTTGATCTCTGGTCAAACTTGACTAGTGAAGTGCTAAGACCTTGAGCCTTCACACTGAATGGAGGAGAATGTAAGCCTGTTATAGCCTTTCTAACCATATAACCAGCAACTAATTGGCTTGGTTCTTATAAAGTAATTAAATCCAGTTTAAGATTTTGCTTATGTGGAATGTATTGTTCTTGCTCATTTTGAATAGCTCCTTTCTTAGTGAACTGGCAAAAACAAAAAACAAAAAATCCAAAGCAACCTAGTTAAATTAAAAAAAAAAGGAATCATCAACAACCATGAAATTCGGCGTGACGTCCTGACCAACAGAAACCCTGTTCTCCGAATTTACATCAGTACTGGTCCTTAACAACCTGCTGTTACCTCAACATCAAGCTTTTTTTTCTTTTTTGGTTAAAGCTATATGTTTTAAAAAAAAAACAACCCAGGTACAAGGGTAGCCATTTTACAACCAATCGTATTCTAGCTGTATACAGAATTACAATATCAATCCAAAATGGCTTATAACTTAAAAGTCACCCCTGGGCAGCTTAAATTTACATGATGAGCCTGGGACTTGGCTTCTCCCTTAACTTTAAGAATCGTAACCCCATGATCAGTGTAATACACATGCACATAATCCCAGGAATCAATAAACATGGATGCTCTGTTATATTATTATTAGATCCAATTGCTTGGCAATTAACCCAGTATGACACCTATACAGATGATTTAAATTAGGGGCCTCACATTTCACAGCCAAGAATCAATAAAGGGAAATCACAGCTACTGATAACACTTTTAGTTTGGCTTGTTACTACCGCGTTACTTTTTGTTTTTCTCCAAGGTGAAGCTATTGATTCATTGTGCTGAATCATTGGGAACGTAACTTTCATCCACTGGCAAAGAGCAAGCTGCATTAAAAACATAACATTAAAACAGGTTTGGCTGGAAACAACTAATGTTAGCTGGAGCCATGGGAAGTTCTTCTGTCTGTGACATGCTTAATCATAATTTTATTATTTTACACTGCCCCCCACAATAATAGTAACTCAGATTTATATAGTGTTTTAAGATTGACAAAATACTCTCCCCCACAGACTTTAGCATAACAGATAGACAGCTAGTCTTTTTTTTTTTTTTGGTTAGGCAACAGGGTTAAGTGACTTGCCCAGGGTCACACAGCTAGAAAGTGTTATGTGTCTGAGGTCAGATTTGAACTCAGGTCCTCCTGACTCCAGGGCCATCTAGCTGCCCCAACAACTAGTCTTAAAGCCAAGAAGAGCTGAGTTCAATTCCTATCACGGAGATAATTTTGTCTGTATGCCTTTGGACAAGTCCCTTAATTTCTCAGTCCTCTGGGCAACTCTCCATGGTTTTAAGTTGCAGAGAAGATGTTTAATTGTTGTGGTAGAGGGAGCTTCCTTACCCAGGGGTTTTCTATGCCAATGAAATCACAGAACTAGTGCCTATCCTTCTTTTCTTTCCAATAACTCTGTGAGTTTGGTAGGGTTAAGTGGTATTATTTGCATATTAAGGTGAGGAAAATAAGTCTCAGTGAAGTAAAGTGAACCCTTTCATAATTCTTATAACTGTTAGTGATTTTTCTCACTTCAAATCATTATTTATTTTCTTACATGTTTGAATGTTGTATCTTCTAAATACAGTGTAAGCTCCATTTGAGAAGTCTGAAATTATGTGTGGAATACCACACTTGTGGACCTCACACATCTGCAAAGGGGTTAATTGGAGTGAGCTCCTTATATGTTTTCTTTCTAGCCATACTTACTATTTATAATTTTGCAACAGTCATTTGGATTCTTTTGTGCTGGTTCTTTCCATTTAAATGTGTGTACTCATTGTGTATACTGTTGTCTTGGCTCTGCATGCTTCACTCTGCATTAATTTATGTATATCTTTTCATGCTTCTCTGTATTCCTCATATTTGTCACTTCTTATAGCACAGTAATGTAACTTTACATTAATTTTGTTGCTTTGATTTTCTGTCCTTTTTCAAAAATTAGATTGTCCAGAGTTTTATCAGTTTTTTTTTAAAGAACCATCTTGTAGTTTGGTCACTTTTATAATTTTTTTTATTCTTGTTTTATCTATTTGTTCTTTAATTTTTAATACCTCCCCTTTTATGCTTATTTTAGGTATGTTTGTTTATTGGTTTCCCAATTTTTTCTTTTAATTCACATTCAGCCAATCTTCAATTTTTCTGTTTTGTTAATGTATGTTCGAATATGATTTTCCCTCTTCAGAACTGCTTTCATTGCATCCTAGAAAATCTAATGTGTTGTTTCATAATTATAATTTTCTTACACATAATTATTAATTCTTTCTGTGAACTGTTCTTTTACCTACTCGTTACTTAGGATTTCATTCTTAAACCTCCATTTGGGTTTGTGTCTTTTGTTTGTGCCATTTCTATCGCATTGATAACTTTTTCTATTGCATTATGGTTTGGAAAGGATGTGTCC